CCGCTTCGACCCCAGGGTGAGATCTTTACGGATCCCAGGGGCCAAACCCCTGCTGAGACATTGAGACAATGAGACAACCGCTTCGACCCCAGGGTGAGATCTTTACGGATCCCAGGGGCCAAACCCCTGCTGAGACATTGAGACAATGAGACAACCGCTTCGACCCCAGGGTGAGATCTTTACGGATCCCAGGGGCCAAACCCTTGCTGAGACATTGAGACAATGAGACAACCGCTTCGATCCCAGGGTGAGATCTTGACGGATCCCAGGGACCGAGCCCCTACTGAGACATTGAGACAATGAGACAACCGCTTCGATGCCAGAGATTCAACATCGCAGGGCCCAAACCCCTGCTGAGACAATGAGACAATGAGACAACCGCTTCGATGCCAGAGATTTCACATCCCAGGGCCCGAACCCCTGCTGAGACAATGAGACAATGAGACAACCGACACCCCCAGGTATAGAGGCCGTTGTCTCATTGTCTCCTTGTCTCAGTGGCTTCTCCCCATCCCCGGACGATATAAAACCCTTCCGCTTCTATCCCAGGGTGCGTTGTCTTCTCCCCATCCCCGGACGATATATAACCCTTCCGCTTCTATCCCAGGGTGCGTTGTATCAATTGTCTCCTTGTCTCAGTGGCTTCTCCCCATCCCCGGACGATATAAAACCCTTCCGCTTCTATCCCAGGGTGCGTTGTCTCATTGTCTCCTTGTCTCAGTGGCTTCTCCCCATCCCCGGACGATATAAAACCCTTCCGCTTCCATCCCAGGGTGCGTTGTCTCATTGTCTCAATGTCCCAGCGGCTTCTCCCCATCCCCAGGCGGAGACTCTGCTTCTATCCCAGGGTGCGTTGTCTCATTGCCTCAGTGTTTCTGCTGCCCCCTCCCCGGTCCCAGACGGCAAAAAATGCCTCCATCTCCTCCCAGAATGGTTGTATTACATAGAATCTATACCTTTACCCATATTTATACCCTTTATTATCCCGTTAACATATAATAACTTGCAGAAGACTATGTATAGGAATCCCTGAGCCTAGATATGTTGTAATCAAGATTTTGCTCTCTCTAGGGGGCGTGTTCCAGCTCTCCACTCTGCGGTGGCTGCAGGCCTGGTTATGAGGGATGTATGAGAATTATGCATTTCGAGAGGCTGTCGATTCTCGGGCCTCCGGCCCGGAGCTCGAGCGATCGCAGGGGCTCTAAAATGCTTGCAAAACGGGATTTCGCGGCTGCATGCCAAACGACTTTCGAACTGACTGCCAGGCGCCTTCGAGCTGCATGCCAAACAGCTTTCGAGCTGACTGCCGAGCGCTTTCGAGCTGATTGCCAGCGTCGAAGGCCTCCATCTCGTCTTGCAGGCATGCTTGCGCACGCGCGCGAGCTCCACTCCAAAGCACTGTGGAGCGCGACGTCTGCCCTCATGGTGCTCTGGTGGACCTTTGAGATGCGGCCTCATACATATACAAATATTGATATGTGTATATATATGTATATATTTCTCGATTTCAGGGTTGTCTTAACGTCTCAATGTCTCAGTGTCTCAGAGCCCCGCAGATGCGCAGGTTCCAGCGTTCGGAAGCCACGAGCTGCGGGGCAGCGAGCTGCATGCCAGCTTTTGAGCTGCATACCAAACAGCTTTCAAGCTAACTGTCGAGCACTTTCGAGCTGCGTCGAAGACCTCCATCTCGCTTCCAGGCGCTCCGAAGCTCCGCTTCCCTGGCATAGACCACAAGAGGGTTGCCAAACCAAGAATATCCCGAGGTAATCTTGCGGCCTGCTTGGCGAGGAGATGTGAGGGCTCACATCACGCTGGGCAGCATGCCATGAAAGGACTCAATGGCGCGTTCATGGCGTCAGCAGGAGCCCTCAGATGACAACTTGCTGTCTATTGCCAGGAGCCCTCCCAGTCCAGACGCCGAGAGCGATGGCCATCTGAGGTAGTATGGGAACGCATACGGCTGGGCATGACCTGCATTGGAGGCAGCTCTTGCTCATCAACCCCCCACTCAGGGATGCCGTCCGGAATGGGAATACCTCTGTATCTTGTCATGGAGGTTTGGGCCGCGAGCCACATCACCTGGACAGCTTCCTGGATTTGCCGGTACTGCACGACACCTTCGTCCTTATACTGATAGGGGAAGGAGGTAACTGCCGCACGTAGGGCCGAAGGATCAGGGTCCTTGGAGGTGCCATGGCAGTACATCTTAAACCAGAAGCTGTTGAGTCGCTGCTTGGTTGGATGTTTAGCTTGCATGAGCCCCTTAATTGCAGCCCAGTGAGCAGTGGCTGCGTCATACCACTCATTTCGGGGACGTTTTGGCCCATGCTTGGTGGGTGTGGTGCTGATCCCTTTCCAATGCGCATCGAAGATGACTGGCAGTCGGAAAGGGGCTGAGACATCCACTTCTCGCAAAGCTGCAAGGTCAGTGGTTCGCAGCTCCGAGAAGCGCCAATCATTCACCTGCGCCTCGGGTTCGTCCTCCGCATCCGACATGTCATCCATCGGGCAGGGAGAGCCGTCATTAGTTTCGGAAGAGATGCTGACGACCTCCGGCGAGTTTGCTGCAGTGTTCACTTCCACAGGCGCAGCCATGGGCGAGGAGAGCAAGCACTCCAGGGGCAACACTCGCCGTAGAAAAACAGCCATTCTGTGAGAAGTGTCAGGCCACTCCAAGTTATAAACTGACCAAAAGTGTTCAATGTTTTGGTTGGCCACCGAGGCCGCAAGGGCAAGCCGGATGGCGTCAAGGAAATGGGCAGGGGGGAGGTCTGGCCTAAATTCTTGATAGTGCCTTTGCCCAAGTGTCTCTGTGCCTTGCAGCGTGATGCCTAGGAACGTATTCAGGTGGCAGCTGCGGCCCATGCCTGCAAGGCTTCTTGGGAGGCTTGGCCAGTGACTTGTGGCAGTCCACTGTGCGCCCATCACATATTTGGGCACTTGGGACACCGCAAGCGCGGCCAGCTAAGAAGGCCACCATGGCTGCGGGCGGCACATTGATCTGCAGGTCAGTAATTTTATTATCAGATTCAGGAAAACCAATAACAATGGGCAGCCCGGCCGTTCGCTCCAGGGGACCTTTTTGATGGGACTCGAAATAATCTGGGTCAGCGTTGCTGAGCATTGCAGGAAAACTGGCATTGATGACACTCGGCAAGTCCGACACTCCGAAAGCATTGCTTTGTCCAGCTGCGGGACCGGGCAATCCACATTTCAGCAAGGTCGAAATGCTGCAATGCCTCCGACAGTCTAAGACACTGCGTGATGATAGGATCATAAACCTTCAAATACGCCGCCGGAAACGTTTCAGGCAGATGCAGTAGCATGTCCGCAATTCCAATTCTGGCGCCGGGGCTAGTTCTGTTGCTGCTTGATCACAACACTCTTTACAGCCAGGTGGAAAGCGGACATGCCACACACTGCTGCGTTAACAGCTTTGCATGTAAGCCTCGCCGCGGGTAGAGCAGGTAAATGCAAATTGCGCGTTCCTCTACGGGCGCAGCTGCGGTTATTGCTTGGCACGAACGTCAACAACTTTCCCAATGCAAGGGTGACTTTGTCCCCATCGACGCACACTTGGGTGGAATAGCCATGCCACGAGCCATGTTGCGCTATATTCTTACCTCGGAATTGCGGCATGCTGTTAGCCTTGTTCACCATGAGAGCGACCAGCTCTGCATCTTCCGGCCCGTTTGGCAGCAAGAGAGCAAGCGATCCGCGAGGAAGCACGCCTTATGGCCATCGAAAGTGAGGAGCTCTTCCAGCTTACGCCGGGGGATTATGTGCATAAAGACCTTACTCGAAAGATTTGCGGCTTGGCTGACCCTCGGCTTGATCGCGCAGTCCGAGCATCTTTAATGGGTGTCGCCTGCGGCTCTGTCCAGCTGCCGGAAGATTCCCAAGCATTCGTCAAATCCGTACTAGGACGACTGATAACTCGCCCCGACCTGGAGAAATTTCTCCGGCTGCCCCCTGCCTCGAATCGGAGTATCGCAGACCTACGAAGTGAATGCATCAAAGTCCTCTTGGCAGAAGCAAAGCCGCACCTGACGGACCTGCCACTACCGTATCATGAGCTGGGCCCCACGATGAAACTTGTGCTGGACATGTGGCTCCCCTCCTGCCACTTGAGCGCCTAGTTGACATGTTGGGCTACCAGTTCTTAGCCATGGCCTCTGAGGCAGAAATTGAGGAGGAGCCTTCGGAGTAATACCATTACCCAGACCAAGCAGCAGTAAAGCGTGCCGGCACACCTGTGGCGGTCAAGCCAGGCACTCATACCTAGCCGATCTGCCTGCTTCACCGTCTGTCCAAAGGCGTCAGTCATCCTTCTCACACCTGAGCTAATTGATGTCCCTGAATGGAGTAGACTGGTTTGCGGTTGCTGGCAAAGTCTCCGCCAAAGGTACTGCCTTGCTGGTTACCTTGCGAGAGAGTGGTGGATGTGGCATACCCCGGTGTGTTCATTGAGCTCCTATCCCCTAAAAAACTCCGCATCAGCCCGGGCGAGATCAAAGCAATGCAGCCAGTCAATCTCACCATTGCCCTGCTCCTAACAGATGAGCAGCACAGCCATTTTGCGAACCAACACACACTACCAAGAGCCAGCTCGAGGTGCTGCCCGGTGGAGCTTCCACCCCTCTTTGGAATGCACTGCTGCACATGCCCAAGGAGCGGCAGCATGTCGCATCGGAATTCCGATGGAAGATTCACCTCTTGATGCCGTTCGGCAGCCACACTGGTTGCCGGGTTTTCTCACGGACCTCGTGCTTTGTTCTAATCACGATTTATGGGCCCAGTTGATTCATTCGGAGGTCTGCCAAGTTTTCAGGGGTGAGCATGAATCCTTTGATGTTGGCAGACGTGCAAGTGCTGACGCCCCGCTTGGCGTGCAACTTTCTAAGGCTTTGAGACACGTGTTCGCCGGTCGTGCTGCTGAGACCTTGCACTGCCGTGCCGATCCTCTCATCAGGTTTGTGGCCTGGGCTGATTCCAAGGCCATGGTCGCAATTCCATTTCATGAGGAGACGCTCTATATCTTCGCTTGTGAGTGTGAGACAACATGTGCTCCTAGCTTCCTCAAGAGCTTGATGTCGAGCTTGGCTTTTTGTTTGCATATCTTAGGCGTCATGAGTGCGCAGGATTGCTTGTCCAGCATGAGGCTCACTGGTGTTTGCCAAGACATGTTGTCTCACAAAGAGGAAGAGGCTTCAGAGGCCTCCGCTCACCACCAAGATGGTTTGCCGGATGGAGCGATTCGTTGCCTCTTCGACGGCCGACCGTGTGGACCGTTTCATCTGCGGCTTCTTCCTTTTGTCAGTGTACTTCAGGGGCAGGAACTCCGACACGCAACAGATGCATGGTGTCTACGAGGACAAACCCACTGTTGACCCGACTGGTCTGGGCGGGTATCTTCAGGCTGACACATCTCGCACTAAGACGGCGTACACTCTGTTGCGTCGCACTCAGTTCCTTCCCATGGTCGCGCCGAGGTTGGGTCTTTCTGGTGAGGATTGGTTTAGTGCCTGGGTCGGTGTTAGGGGTGATCTTCATGTTCCGGCAAGAGAGGGCCTTCCGGTTCTCCCAGCTGTTCTCACGACCGGGCACTGGGCTCGACATCCACCCAGTGCCTTGGTAGCTGCTCAGTGGCTACGCAACGTCCTCCGAAAGTGCGGCTTCTCCGAAGCACAGTGCGCCCCTCTTGGGACGCACTCCTGCAAAGCCACTTGTTTGTCGTGGTGCGAGGTTCGGTATCTCTGATCGTGACCAAAGGACCTTAGGTTACCACACCGCTCCTGGCGATAGGACCGCACATGTTTACAGCCGTGATGCTGTCTCAGTTTCGGTGAGAGCTCTGGAGCGTGTCCTTGCAGACATCCGTGCTCGGCGCTTTGTGCCAGACTCGACTCGCTCTGGCAACTCCCTCGAGACGGTGAACAGGATGCTGGCTATTATGTGGAGGCTTCCGGCTCTGAGGCCTCCTTGGATGAGGAGGACGACGAGGTCGACCGTTGCGGGCTGGAGGCAGCCCTCGACGAGGTCGTCGATGAATGGTCTGAACCCTCAGACGCCCCGACCGTTTCTGCTGAGAAGCTTGTCAGGAACAAGGCATCGCGTATGCTGCATCTTCTTGCTGATGAGGGTGGCACTGTTTTGGTTTGCGGCCGAGGATGTACCAGGAATTATGACCGGGTCGCCTCTGTGCCTAGGTTTCTTTTTCCAACTTGCAGCCGTTGTTTTGAGTCAGTTGCCCAAAGTGCTGATGTTGATCCTTCGTGATTAATGCATCGAGAGTTCCAGGACGGTGTGCTTTTTGCCCCATGGAACGTGACGGAGTCAGGTGTGCATAGGCCCCGATTCTCCGTGGTGGCTTTCTCTTTTGGCTAAGGAAGGTGTGCTCTGGCCCCTTTCCTATGATATTTCAGAGTCGGTGTGCCTGTGCCCCGATCAGCTACACTGCAGCTCGTGTTTGCTCTCACGATGTGAGGACCCCTGTCCAATTTCACGTGAGGTGGCAGAGAAAGGTGTGCCCATGTATGCCCCGATTCTCCGGTATTGCAGCTGCGTACGGGCGGTGTGCTCTTGCCCCGCCCGATATCTCCGGTGTGATCCGCTCAAAGAGCGGAGTGCTCGTGGCTCGGTGTGCAGTCGCCCCGACCCCAATGTTTCTACGGATCCCATTCGTGACTGGAGCTGTTGAGAGCTTCCAAAAGAGTACATGCAGCAATCAGATGCTTTGCGATGCGAGTTGATTGTCGCTCACTTGATTGAGTCTGTTTTGATTTTTTCCCTCATGTTCGTTGTCCCCTGTGAGGTGCTTTCTTCGACCGAGATGCAGTAAGGCTCGAGTTGCAAGCATGAGCATCACCGAGAGCGCTGCCAACTTTAGTGCACGGGCCTCGAAGCTGGGGCTCGCTGCTGATGCTCTGCAGCTCCTTGTGGCTGGAGGCGTAAACACTCTTGCCAAGTTTGCGTACGTTTCCAGTTTCATTCCGGGCCAAGCGGATGAGACGCCATTTGTGCTGGCCTTGAAGGATCTTTTTAAGCGGGATCCCACAGTCCCTGAGCTCGCTGTGCTTCGGAGGCTCCACTCAGAGTCTTATGCCTTGGTGGCGGCAGAGCTCAAGTCACAGGTTGAGCGCACAAGCGATGCACCTGCCCGGTGTCTTGCTGCCCCTGATAGGGCGGACCGTCTTGCTCGTCAGGTTGCCAAGTACCCGGGACTTTCAATCTCTGGGCCCAACGAGCCGTCTGACAGATCCGTAGACAGATGCTGCCAGATGTACGAAAACAACCGGCTGACTTATCTTCCTTTGAGCTGGGTCACCAGCAAGGATGACGAGGTTCGCAACTCCAAGGATAAAGAAGACCGAATGCTTTCTGTGGACGGCTCGGGCAACGTACATATCAAGAAGGCCGACGTCAAAGAGGAGGCTGATCTTAGCACGGATCTTTTGCTTCGCTTCGCTCTTACGCGGCGCGGCCTCGCGCTCGAGCAGGCCGGAATCCTTGATTTCAAAGAGCATGAGAAATGGTCGGAGCGTCTTCTGCATGCCCGCTACCGCGACGTGCCCACAGGGTATGCCCGCATCAGTGTCCAGCAGCTACTTCAGGCCGATAAGCAGTTGTTCGTCACGGCTGCCCAGGAGTGCCGCTCGGGAATCCAAACCACTGCCGCCGGCAGGCCTCTCGATGGGGTTTGGATGGTATGTGCCGATAAGTCTGAGGTGGCCCACCTGCTCGCTCCTCTAGCCCAGCCGCCTCCGAAGGCGCCTCGGCTTGAACGACCAGGACCATATGCTGGCGCCGGTCGTGGGCGTGGCAAGGGCAAAGGCAAGGGCAAGGGCAAGTTTCACATGCCCGAGGATCTGAAAGATGGACAGCCCAACACGCCCAAGGGGGTGCCAGTCTGTTTCGATGCGCAGCGTGGCAAGTGCACCCGTCCTCTTGCGGGGAACAAGTGTGTGCGTGGGGCGCACATCTTCTGTGTTTGCTTCCAGCCGGGGCATTTTTACCCAGCGTGCCCCAAACGCAAGGCCGAGTGACTATCGGCCCCGTCAGTTGCTGGTGAGCCGTCTTGCAAAGCGGCGCGCACGTCCGCGCCTGTTTCCACCCAATCTCCTTCTTGCATGCGTGCTTTAGCCGAGGATGCCGCCGAAGGCCTGCCTCCTCTTCATACTGCCCTTCCTCCCTCTGCGGGCTCCGTCTCTGCTACAGATGTTGAAGCCCGTTCCGGGGAGCTGCTGGATGCTGACTGTTGGTTACAAGGTTCCGATCTCAGTGCCTTGTATCATCTCCTTCCCAAGGAGTCTCCCGTGCGTGGTGACCCTGGTTTGGGGTCCTCTTTTTCGACTGGAGCGTTCGCCCGGATCAAAGTTGGCCTTCGGACGAATGTTCGGCACTATCCCAGGTTCACTCGTCTTGCCGCCCGGTATGTTCGGCAGCAGCTGCCCGAGCATCCCTTTACAAGCTTGGCAGTGTTCAGTGACGTTGCCACGACACCTCATCTTGACGCTAGGAACTCTGCAGTTCCTAATGCTGTTCTTGCCCTGTCTTCCTTTACCGGAGGTGCTGTCTGGGTGGCCAAGGATGGGGGGCCCGACACATTTCTTGTTCAGGGCGAGTTGCGTGACGGACTCGATCTCGATTTGACAGGACATCACGCTGTGTTCTCTGCCAAGCGGCTTGTGCATGCCACGCGTCCTTGGTCCGGACATCGTCTCGTGCTCGTCGCGTTTACCGTCGAGGCTGCTCCTTTCCTGTCTGCCGCCGATTGTGCGCTGTTGCGCGAGCTCGAGTTTCATGTGCCTTCAGCGGCTCAGTTGGCCGATGCCGCCGCTGCTGAGTTTGTGTGTCGCGCATTCCCCCGTGTCCTTGCACGACCAACCGCCACTACTGACTTCCCTAAGTTCCCACCTGATCCCCCCAAATCTTCGTCTCGGCTTGTCGTGGAACTTTGCGCAGGTGATGCCCAGCTTTCCCGGTGCTTCGCTGAGGCGGGTTTTGATACCCTGGCGGTTGATTCTCGTGCCAGCCGCCTGCATGCATGTGCTAAGGTCTGCAACCTGAGTTTGAGCGCTCCCGCAACGTGGGATTTTCTACATTCTGTTCTTCTTCAGCATCCGGTTGTCTTCGTTTTTGTTTCGCTGCCGTTCGGCACTTGTGGCCGCGATTTCCGCGACGCTGCACATTTGGCCGGCTTACCCGGCCTGTCCCCCGAGGCCCAACAGAAACTTGAGTCGGCCGATTTTGTGTATCGTGCAGTGACGCGCCTTTTGCTCCAGGTGCACGACATGGGCATCATGTGGGCGGCTGAGGCCCCCTCTGCGTCTTTGGTGTGGCGCCTACCTTCCTTGCAGCCCTTGGTGGCTCTCGGAGCTCGGGTGTCCTTTGATGCCTGTTGCTATGGGGGTCTTGTTCGCACTTCCAAGAGCATCCTTACCACTGTCCCTACGTTCCTGAACTTGGCTCAGCGTTGCCCTCACGAGAGCCATCCCAAGGCCGCTGCGGGTGCCGCTCATGGCTGCCGCCACCCGCGCCCCTTTGTGTGTGCAGCTGGTGCACCTGCTTTGCAGTTCCTTGGACATCCCTCTTCCTGCGTTGGATCAGTCTCAGCCGCCTCCTGCCCAGGTTGCGGTTGGCCGTCAGCCCCGCGGGCGCAAGGTTCCCCCCGTGGTTCCTGAGTTTGCGCGTGTTGTCTCCTACACGGTTCCCGCTCTACCGGCCACTGACCACAAGCGCCGGCTGCTGCGTGCGGTGCTTGATGCCCCTGCGGGCTCCAAGCTTCTTTCCTCCACTAGGATAGGGGGTGCAAGTGGGGATTTAGTTCCTGTGGAGGACCTGGAGTCGCCTACTTTCCGCATTCTTGTGGGCGTTTATCACTCCAAGCAGGAGTTCTGCCGCCTGGCTTTGTCAGCTCCTCACCCGTTTGACTCCATGGATATCATTCCCGACATCCTGAAGACGAGGCTCTTTGAAGCAGCTGAGCGGGGGCCTGACTGGGTGCGGCTGCGGCGCACCGCTGTACTCAAAGAGTGGTTGAGCCTCGCCGCTTCGTTGGAGGATGAAGAGCGCAGACTTCAGAAGTCCTTGGATCCTGGGGTTAAAGGTGTACTTAAGGGCAAACGCACATTACTACTCGAGGCCTTGGCGGCCCGAGTCGGCTGGCCTGACCAAGGGGTTTTTGAGTCGCTTCGTTCGGGGTTTGAGCTTGTTGGCAGCTTAGAGCACACGGGGGTCTTCGCCAAGGATCTCCGTCCAGGCTCTGATTCTGTGGGGTCTTTCGTCGACTCTTTCAAGTTCCTCAAGCCAGCACTCTTGGGCAAAGTTGCTTCTTCGAGGTGTGGCGCTCTGGAGAGAGAGGTATGGGACAAGACTCTTGAGGAAGTTCAGGAGGGCTTCCTCTCCGGCCCTTTTCGTGAGGAGGAGGTTGACTCCATGCTAGGGCCCGCGTGGGTCCCGGTGCGCCGTTTTGGGGTTGAGCAGAGCTCCGCCGGCAAGAGGAAGGTTCGTCCTGTTGATGACTACAGTGAGAATCGTGTGAACTCTGCATTCTCCTACTGCGATCGCATTGACCTTCGGGCCTTGGATGAGCTTGTGGCATCTTGCAGGCTCTGGACGAGGTTCATGCTTGGGGGTGGTCCCCTCGAGGTTGCCCTTTCTGATGGCACTATTTTGAGAGGCCGTCTCCATCCCAGCTGGTCCTCGTCTCGGGCGTGGCAGCCCTTGGTGGCGACTCTTGATCTGCGTTCCGCATACAAGCAGGTCCCCCTTGCCCCATCCAACCGGGCGTTCTCAGTCGTCTCCTTGAAGGACCCCGAGTCCTCGCTGGTTTCGTTGTTCGTGGGACGGTCGCTCCCTTTCGGCAGTACCTCCAGCGTAATCAATTTCAACCGCCTTTCTCGGCTTCTTTGGCGTTTGGGGAATTTCCTTTTCTGGTCCAACTATTACGACGACTATCCCGTGGTCACCCCGGCTGCCCTAGCCGATTCTACCCGGGACACTATGCTCACCTTCATGCGCCTTGTTAAGTTTGACACAGCTGAGGAGAAGCTCAACCCTTTCAGCCCCTCGGCCTCTGTGCTGGGCATTGAGATTGACTGCTCGGCTTCGCCTGAGGGTTGGGTTGACGTTCGGAATAAGGACGGTAGGGCTGGTGAGGTTTGTGTGGGGCTTGAGCTTCTCCTACAGGAGGGTTTCCTTCTTCGCCGGGACTTGCCGCGCATACTTGGTCGCATCCAATTTGCAGACGCCCAGGTTTTGGGGAAGGCCGGGAGACATGCTATGAAAGAGATCAGGAACTGGTCCTCTTCGCACTCTGCAGATGTGTTGCGTCTTGATGATGTTGCAAAGCGTTCCTTTCGAGTCTTGCTGGACAGGTTCCGAGCGTCGCGCCCTGTACGAGTTCCGTGTTCCGTGGCTCCTGAAGTTATGCATGTGTTCACTGACGGATCCAGTGAGGGCCGTAATCACTTCATTGGGGGTATACTCTTCTCGAGCCTTTCGGGGCCTACCAGGTTCTTCGCGTGCGAGGTGCCCGCTACCCTGGCGGAGCGCTGGCAGTCCGACATGATGCACATCATAGGGCCCGTTGAGACCTATGCAGTTGCTGTTGCCCGTTGCGTTTGGGAAATCGCTTTAAAGGGTTGCCGGTGTGTCTACTACATCGACAACTACGGCGCACTTGACGCTTTTATCAAGGGATTTTCGAGCAATGCCTACATGTCCGACATTCTGCTGTCATTTGAACAGCGTGAGCTCTCCGGCCCGTCATGGCCGTGGTTCACCCGTGTGCCTTCCGAGAGTAACTGTGCGGACGACCCTTCGCGTGCGCAGTTCTCCCATCTTGTTAGTCTTGGGGTCCTTAGGGATAAGGGTTCGTGCCCCGTGCTTGGCTGCGAGTTGGGCGACCTTTCGCCAGCCTTGTCAAAAGTGGGGGAGGCGATGCCGGCTCAGTTCGCCCCCGTCACAAAAAGATATGCTTGAGTTTGGTCCCTAAAGTTGTGCTCCCCAAGGGTTCCTTTAGTTAATGATTCCTCGCTGACCTGCACTTCCCTTGTGCATTCTTGATGTGTCTTGTGCTTGATGTGTGCATCACGTTTTTGGCGGTTTTCAGAGCAAAAAGAACTTTTGGAGCCGCAGGCACCTTGTTCCTTTTTGCGTCGAAAATTTGCGAGCCAGTGGGCGAGCTCCGCCAAAAACTGTATTTTGCACCTTTGAAAAGTTCACATGACCTTTTTCTTGATTGCTTCATGTCTGCAGCGTGCATCACATGAGCATGTGGCATGGGAGTGATACAGTCCGAGTTGCTTTGTGACATTTGGCTTGCAAGGGACGCCTCACTGCGCACTGCTGTGAATTTTTCCCCGCCCACCCGCCCTACGAAGCGCAGTTCCGTGCGTCTTACTGTTTCATCCTGCGTTCCTTCTGGCATTGCACATCGTGCCTGCTTGTTGAGCGCTTCCACTTTGCGCTCCGTGCTTCGTACCGCGCACCTTGGTGTGCCCCGTGTTGCGTGCCCAACTGCTTGTCGAGCGCCTCTTCTGGGCGCTCCCTGCGGCCTCAAGCCTGAGGTCCCGCTGGGCCGCATGCGCGCGTTCTTGGACCGTAGGAGCCCATGCCAAAGTGCATGTGGCCGTGCGCCTAACCCGACCGTCCGGCGATGCCGGCTCAGTTCGCCCCCGTCACAAAAAGATATGCTTGAGTTTGGTCCCTAAAGTTGTGCTCCCCAAGGGTTCCTTTAGTTAATGATTCCTCGCTGACCTGCACTTCCCTTGTGCATTCTTGATGTGTCTTGTGCTTGATGTGTGCATCACGTTTTTGGCGGTTTTCAGAGCAAAAAGACCTGTAGATGGGTACGGGTGCCTGCCCAGGATGAGACCCAAACCAAGTTAGGCATTTGCCGCCAAAACCTGCTCCGCCTTTCTGCGCAAGGTACCAAAATACACGATGCCGCCGGCAATGTGCCCTACACATGACTCCACACATGCCCACATGTTTGCCCTGCATGGACTGCCTGTGGCTGCCCTGCTCCCCCTTCAAGTGCGCCTTCGGAGCCTAGTCAGCCTCAGCCACATTGTGTTCGCCATCTGGTCCTGTCTGCCGCCTGCGTCCAGACACACCTTTCATGCCGCCGACTGGTGGACCGCCTCGCTGGTATCTTGCCGGCCTGCCTATGCCAGCCAGTGACGCAGACTCTGCCCCAGAGTTTTGCTCCAGCACATCCGCCTCAGACGACTAGAGTCATCCTGCACCCGGTGGCTCCAAGTCGCCCTCGCTGAGGTTTTTTCACTGCCTTCCACTGCCTGCAGCCCCGAACCCGCCCCACCTGTGACGCCCAGGTACATCTACTCCTGAACATCTTGGACAAGCCCATTCCAGACGAGGACAGTTGCCTCTCTCTTAGGGTTTCTTGGGGTTGGCGTTCGGTCGAAACCTTGCCTTAACGCCTTCGTTGCAGGCCTTTCTCTGCCCAGCCTATACGTGCCCCGCCATGCCAGTTTCTCTCTTCTCTCTTTCATGTGCACTTGCCCGACCTCAGGTACAGCCATCTGCCCCTCACGCCCAACACACAGAGGCGCCTGCCTGCCGTTGTCTTTCTACCGCCAGTGTGTTCAGCTTGCTTGTCTCAAGCTTGATTTGTCTGCTTTGCATCTGACAGTGAGTCCTCTCAAACCTCCAGCTTGTGCCCCACCTCCGCCCTGCTCCTCAGCACCATGTCGAGCCCAGTTTTCCGCCCTCTGGGCCGGACTGGACTTGCCTACAAGACAGCGCCTGCTGTCCAGCATGCCTGCCCCGCCCAGCACTACGGCGGTGCCCGCCCAGCCAGGCGCCCAAGATGCGCAGACATCTGAAGTCTGAAGCCTATGCCCACCAAAGCCCCGCCGCCCGTGGTCACTGGCTCCTCTGTGGATGCAGTATCGGCCGCACAGTCGGCCTCCCCGTAGTCGTAGTAGTAGTAGTAGTAGTAGTAGTAGTAGTAGTAGTAGTAGTAGTAGTAGTAGTAGTAGTAGTAGTAGTAGTAGTAGTAGTAGTAGTAGTAGTAGTAGTAGTAGTAGTTAGTAGTAGTAGTAGTAGTAGTTAGTAGTAGTAGTAGTAAGTAGTAGTAGTAGTAGTAGTAGTAGTAGTAGTAGTAGTAGTAGTAGTAGTAGTAGTAGTAGTAGTAGTAGTAGTAGTAGTAGTAATAGTAGTAGGAGTTGTAGTAGTAGTAGTAGTAGTAGTAGTAGTAGTAGTAGTA